TTCAATATGGACTTTGTACTGGTGCACACCTGCACACCACACACACATACATAGTTTGAAAGAAAAAGAAAAATACAGTTAAGTGCTTCAAAATATGATCATTAAGTGTTTGCAAAGTAACAAAGCACTAAGCCAGGGGCAGGATAAATAGTAGAGTGAGAAAAACAACCATCAGACCCTATTTCCATCATCAGAAAGCAACACATACGCAAGGATCAACGAGAATGACACACAGCATCCTCAACTGTGTCATCTGAGCACAGTGCCAAGTATGAAGTTCAAGCTGGAAGCTGCACACGAGGTGTCTGGTGTTCAATGTCAACTCCACCTGAAAGGCAGGCAGGACTGTAGCCCCAAGAGAGGAGGGGCTCCAATGGAGAGGCATCAAAGACAAAACTCCAGAGACCAGAACGCGCAATGCACATGCAGGTAAGACACCATCTTCCCCTCAAAGACTGGCCTGAAGGTTCAGTGAGGAGAAGGGGCAGTGCCACATTTCAGAAGGCTTTTCAAACCCCAACTGTTGTGCAAAAGAGATGAAGGCAGACAAAAAGTGAGAACAGAGAGGCCAAACAGAACTATCTCAAGGGCTATCTGGGGATTTATGAGGCAGCACAAGAAACTAAAAGGTCATGAAAACTTCAAGGGAACCTTGAAAGAAGAAACCAGTTTGGAGGCAGAATGAATACTCCGTGAGTAAAGGAAATGCTCTACTAGGGCTGCCCCAGAAGTCACCAGCACTGCCTGCTGTTCCATTAGAAAAGGTCGGCTGAGATCTCTGCACAAGGGAAGATGGAAAGATGACTCCAAAGTTTCAGGCCGAACACCTAAAGAATGGCTATTCCAATCAAATACCTGGGAATGACAAGGAGTCAGGGTGCATCTGGGCAAGAACAACTTGGCTTTGATAAGATGATTTTGATACTCTAAAATCAAACTTTTTCACTCTGGATGAACAACCATGGCACTGAATGAACAAGAAGGTATAGATTAGCAATGCAGTCATATTGGTAGGGATCATCCCATAATCAAACTGGGGATATCAGTTCCTCCAGTCTTTAGTTTGAGTTCAGACTCTTTAAAATTGTGGCAACAAGCTGCATGAGTCCCTTCTCAGTGGAACGATAACCACAAGCTGTCTTACTGTACAGGCCCAGAAATGCTGACGGTTCCCAATCCTAGTAACTTTTTGTACTCTGGAAATGGAGGATCTGCTGGGACTTGAGGTTCCCAAATCGATCAAATGGCCATCAAGGCAGTCTGCTTGCAGAGACTTGATTTCAGAAACTAGGTTCATTACTTCTACTCACAAGGAAATGAACACAGGAGCACAGGCTTACCAGTTCACGTGTTCTAGTCATAACACATTGAATTCAACTCCTGTGGTCTATTCTGAGGCTGTCCCTTGGACTGTGCTCTCCATAGACCCTGTTTTAGCCTATGATGGGAAGACGATGACTCACACTAGTCATCAATTCCTTCCTAGTTTATCAATAAGCATCCTCTTCTTCTCAGCCTAGAAAATTCTGCCCATGAGCTTCTGTTCTGCTCATTACTAAAGCTCACAACCCCATCCTGCTTGCCATTTCAACACCTAGCACACTTACTATCAGCTCCCTCACATAGGGTATCTTTCCATCTCCTATTACTCCCCACTCCTGTCCCCATGCTGAGTGAGGATTGAGCCCAGGGCCTTGAGCATATAAGTCAAGCTCTTGACTGCTAAGCTGGACCCCAGTTCTTCCTACTACATCCTTCTTCTTTTGTTGTTTGTTGTTTGGAGACAGCCTTTCTCTGTGTAGCCTGGCTGTCCTGGAACTGCTCTATATGCCAGGCTGGCTTCAAACACTCTCTCTCTCTCTCTCTCTCTCTCTCTCTCTCTCTCTCTCTCTCTCTCTCTCTGCTGGTGAAGAAGAGTGTTAAGCGGAGTATGTGCAATTACCAAATAAATGCTTATATGTTGATGACACCGCTTAGCATGAATATACAGGACAGCAGCAGCAAGCTGTTAGAATTCTAAAACCCAAGCTAACACCAAATGGGTAATAAACATGTTGCTCTTCTTTTACTACTCTAGGTATAGGAAGAAATGAAAGCATTTGGTATTCAAAACATGAATGCCACAAGGCTAGACTGGAGGGCTCTCCAGGCCACTCCTGTAAATTACTGATTAGACTGGTCCATTTCTGAGACAGCACTTTTTGGAGACTGTAACCTGTTTGCCATTAATCAGATTTCTCCCTTTTTTTGGTTTATTAATTTATTTTATGTATATGAGTGCTCTATCTGCATGCATGTCTTTATGCCCAAATAGGGCAGCAGATCCCACTAGAGATGGTTGTGAGCTACCATGTGGGTGCTGGGAATTGAACTCAAGACCTCTGGAAGAGCAGCCAGTGCTCTGAACTGCTGAGCCATCTCCCCAGCCTCCCAGATTTCTCTTCTTATACTAGAAGTCTTCTCTTAACTTGTCCATATTCACAAGAGGAAAAGGTATGTCAACTAGACTGTTTTTCCAAGTATTCTGGAGACAGACTGCCTTACTCTAATGTTAACATTTGGAACTGAAAAGAGTCCAGCTCTTCACTATTTGAATATTACTCAGGGGCTGGAGAGACGGCTCAGCAGTTAAGAGCACTGGCTGTTCTTCCAGAGGACTGGGATTCAATTCCCAGCACCCACATGTCAGCTCACAACTGTCTGTAACTCCAGTTCCAGGGTACCCTACACCCACATGTAGGCAAAATACATGCACATAAATTAAAAAAAGAAAAAGAGAAAAAAAAAAACCCAGCCAAGGTTACTACATAAAATCCTGTCTCAAAAACGTGTGTTATGCATCACTTTGCCAGGCAGCGGTGGTGCACGCCTTTAATCCCAGCACTTGGGAGGCAGAGGCAGGCAGATCTCTGTGAGCTTCAGGCCAGCCTGGTCTACAGAGAGTTTCAGGACACCCAAGGCTATTACACAGAGCAACCCTGTCTCGAAAAAACCCAAAAAACACCCGCTTGAGGACTGTGCTTTGACTCTGGAGAGGAAATGAAAATCATCTGTAGGAGAAGCTGCTCAGTGAAATAACTGTTGCTCTATTTCTAGCACAACAAAGAGGCTTTATTTCCAAGCATGGTTAGGGAAAAACAAGAAAAACCAGGTCGCGGAAGGCTGCTGGGCTTCTTGTCCCCTTACTGCCATGCTCTAGTAGAATGCCACTTATCACTACACAGCACAAGCTGCAATCCCTGAGTTCTTGATCAAAAAGAACCAGCACGTGTGGTTTATAGTGTATTTGTTGGTGGCAAGTTTAGGAAAATAATTTCAAGAGGACAGAACTTTCCATTCCTGTCATTAAAAATAAAAGATAAATGAAAACAAAGTTGGAGAGGTGCAGTGTTTAATAGAAAAAATAATGTGGTAGTTTGAATGAAAATGACCTGGTAGGCTTATAGGGACTCAAACCTGGAGATCTACCTGCCTCCCAAGTACTGGGATTAAAGGTGTGCTCCGGGAAGTGGGAGGTTAGAGTAGGTTTGTCACTAGAGGGTGAGTTTTGAGGTCTCGGAACGCTCAAACCAGACCTCGTGGGACATTCTCTGCCTGCAGATCTAGATGTAGAACTCTCAGCTCCTTCTCCAGCACCATGTCTGCCTGCACACTGCTATGCTTCCTACTAAGATGATAATGGACTAACTTTCTCTGAAACTGTAAGCCAGCTCCAATTAAATGCTTTACTTTGTAAGAGTTGCCTTGATCATAGTGTCTCTGCACAGCAATATTAACCCTAAGACAAATCAGCACCTCTGTTTTGGTTTCTTTAGGAAATGTTTTTTCAGGTTCTCGGGATCTGAAATGTTTTCCTCATTCTCACTATGGACTCTTACCTTTTTAGTCACTTAACTACAAGACAGACCATAATCTTCCCAAACTCAGGAATTTCTGTGGTTTAAATAATTCCAGGAAACCACATACTTCATACTCCAACCACCTGTGCAGAGTCACAGGGACCACAGTACAGAGAGTTGCAGCAGGAATAGGTAGTTGGTAGACCAGGCCAGCCCAGGCTCCATAGTGAGACCCTGTCTAACACAAAACAAACCCTTGACACTAACTGAGAGAGGGGTTGGAGTACTGACTGCTCTTCTAGAAGACTGGGGTTGCGTTCCCAGCACTTACATGGCTGCTCAAAACTGACTGTAACTCCAGTTTCAAGGAAATCCAATGCCCTCTTATGGGCTCCAAGGGCACTGCATACATGTACAGACATCTATGCAAGCAAAACACCCACACATCAAATTAAAAAGTAAATCAACCTAAAAGAAAATGACTAAGGCAAGAGAGTTACACTATAATACAGTGGCTTTCATCACTACAAAGGGACTACTTTGTTAGGTGAGCATTTTAACCAGCCAAATTCTCAATGACCAAGGCTACTGGGAGATAAAAGCAGTGGGACAAACAAATGTTGAATTCCTTGAAACTCCAATTTTAGCACATGGATTTTATCATCTTCAATTCTTCTTGCATCAGCCAATAACTAACTGGTAAGCAGAGCTACATTTCTGATGAAACATATAGACAGTTATTGGGGAAACCAGACTGAAGATTAGCACGGAATCTGCCAGATACAGGACATAAAGGGACAAGTACTGAAACTGCTAAGTTAGTCACTGTCCCCAAGACAGTAACACTGCACCAACCCCCAAGTCACTAACTTCTGATGCAAGAATGCAAGATGCTGACTTTCTTCTTCTTCTTTTTTTTTTTTTTTTTGGTTTTTCGAGACAGGGTTTCTCTGTGTAGCTTTGTGCCTTTCCTGGAACTCACTTGGTAGTCCAGGCTGGCCTCGAACTCACAGAGATCCGCCTGCCTCTGCCTCCCGAGTGCTGGGATTAAAGGTGTGCGCCACCACCGTCCAGCAATGCTGACTTTCAAACAATTGAGTTTTACTATTTTAGGCAAATTCAAAAGGAAGAGTAGCCCATGGTGGACTCAACGTAACTCACCTGTGCAGAATTCCTTGTTCACACTGTGCGGTACCGTGATCCTACGGTAGACAATAGGCTCTGATTCCAGGATGTTTTCGTCGTGGCGGTACCTAGCAGGCCGTTCATTTGGGACACCCCGGGAACGGGTGCCACTTCTCCTTTCATAGGTGTCAATCTCCTCAAACACAGCTGCCTTGTCAAAAAGGGCCAGGTTCCCCTCAAAGTCAAAGTCTGTGTCTGGGATCTCCTCAATATCATCTCCAAAGCACTCATCATCTTTATTCTTCATCTGGCCATTCTTTAAACCACTTTTCTTTGGGGTTGCCTGGTTTGGGTGCCTGCTACTAGATGACCCTGGGGGATACATAAAGAACAGAGTCAGTGTGCAGGAATCAAAGGGTATTTCTAAATCACATTAAGTTGCAAGGACAGCAAGAGCACAAACTTCATATGGAATAATAAATTTGAAAAATCACCCAAATAACTAACCATGAAATGAACAATACTGCAAATCTTAATCAGTGCTGCCTTTCATAAGGGAAGAAGTGATAACAGAAGCCTTTTGTGCATGAGGTTATCAATACACCCCCACCCCCCAAGGCTGGCCTTGAACTCCCAAACAGCTTGGATTACAGGTGTGCACAACCAACAAGGCAACAGAAGCTTATCAAATGAGAAGAGGAACAGCAAGAGCAGCAGCGTGTCCTCAGGCAGGATGGCTGCTGCCACCAAGGAAAAAGAAGGTCCCCAGGGAGACACGTTCAGTTCTTCTCGGTACACTTACTAGGGTCCTTTCTGACTTAATTTACTCTCAGGCTAGATCACAGCAGGTAAGAATGCAGACAACAGATCCAGATAGTCTGAAATGTTCTTTCCATCTTTGGTTACCATGGGCTCTTTTCTCAGAACTTCACCTCTTCCATGCACAATCATTTGCTGGACGATCAAAGACAAGTGACCACAGCAAAATAAATACCAACGCCGCAGCAACCAGCCACTCTCTCTTAGACCCTACTTGGCTGCTACACAGCCATCAACACTACTCTTAGCAGTCAAAGAGGAAGCCCTGTCAGTTCTCCAAACCTACCATTCACAGACTAAATGACACCTACACATACAGGAAGGCAACTCATTGCAGCTCAACTGTATGGTTCCCTTTTCACAACCCTTCGATGTGCCCAGAGTTAGGAGATCTTTAATCTAATTTTGTCATCAAAATGCTACATAATCTAGGAGCTGAGGAGATGACGGTCATTAAAGTATGTGCGGGCAAACGTGAGGACCTGAGTTTGGACCCCTAGCACGGATGTAAAAGCTGGATGCAAAAGTGGACAGACACATCTGTAACTGAAGGATCCCTGAAAACTTATTGGTGAGCCAGCCAGCCTAGCCAAATCAGTGAGTTCCAGGTTCAGTGAGAGAGACTCTGTCTCAAAAAAATAAGGCAGAAAGAGATGAAAAAGGATATCCAGTGTTGACCTCTGGCACCGACATGTACATGTGGATGTGTACTGGCATGCACACATTCGTATTACCACATGAATACATACATACATAATGCACATGCACAGTTATATAATTTGGGGATGTAGTTGAAGCCCAAATGGCAGAGTACTTGCCATGCATGCACTATAACCCCTGGGTTCAATTCCTAGCACCACAAAGACTGGGAATGGTGGGGCACACCTGTAATCCAAGCATTTGAGAAGAGGAGGCAGGACAGAAACTCAAGGTCATCCATTGGCCTAGGCTACATGAGATTGTTTTAAAAACAAAAACAAAAAGCAAGAATTATATATAATCATATATTTGCTGTTCAACTTCCTAAGGGCTTCAATCTCCATTAAGCAAAATGTTCACAGCACAGTTTCTAGGCAGTCAATAAACAACTAACAAATTAATCAACACTAGTGAGGCCATTTTAACATTATTCTGAAGGATATATACTATGCAAATATAACTCATGTTGTTCTAATGCCTCAGTATAGAAAAGTGCCAGTAGGGAATATATGACTTTGGTCTCTGAGAAAAAAACAAAACATGATGACCGGAAAGAGTAGAGAGACACCATTAACAATAGATTATAAACCACTACAAAATAAGAAGTGTCTAAACTAAATTCCATTTTCAATCGTTTGCCAAACATTTAGTGAGAGAATGCTGAGTGCTATAACTAGGTGCTGGGAACACATTATAGATAACTAATACTAACTAAGGAGAAATAAAGTATACAAACAGTGAAAATTCAGTGTGGATTCAAATCTTTTTTTTTTTTGGTTTTTCGAGACAGGGTTTCTCTGTGTAGCTTTGCGCCTTTCCTGGAACTCACTTGGTAGTCCAGGCTGGCCTCGAACTCACAGAGATCCGCCTGGCTCTGCCTCCCGAGTGCTGGGATTAAAGGCGTGCGCCACCACCGCCCGGCCAGTGGATTCAAATCTTAAAAGGCATTTTAGGGGTGTATGTCCCCACAAGAGGATGTCAGGTGTCCTGCTCTGTCACTCTCCACCTTATTCCCTTGAGACAGGATCTGACTGAACCTGGAGGTAGGCCGGCAAGGCCCAGAAATCCCCCTTCTGTCTCTGACCCCCACAGCACTGCGGTTATAGATACAGGATGTGCTCAGATTTTACTTTGGTGCTGGAGATTTGAACTCAGGTCTGCATGCTTTCACAGCAAGTGCTCTCTTACCCACTGAGCCTCTCCTCAGCCATGGGAACATAGAGCTGAATTAAGAATGGAGAACAGGTATAGAAATACAAAGATAGTATACCATTAGTAGTGTTTATAGTTAAAGGGAAGAAAGAAGAGGACAAACAGTCCAGCTCTCAAATGATCAATGTATTGACTCAATATTAAACCAACTATCTGCAAGGAAACAGGCGTGTAAGCCAATTGCCTCTCTGGTGGACCTCATCCCCAGGTCCAAACAGAATAATCCACATGGATGCAGAAGATGATACAAAACATTTTATCCACTTTTAGGTAAAAATTGTGGGAATTACACTTCATGAATTTACCATGTTGATGGAAACTGGCATCCTAGGAGGTTTCATCCAGTAAATCACTATCATTTCTGAGGTATCTGGAGAAAACGCAATGTTTTCTATCTAACAAGTCTGCTCCTGTAAGTGGACTTAAATAATTTTTTGAAGACAAAGTCTTGCCCTAGAACATGCTGTGCCATGTAGCTCAGCAACAACCCCCCTGGAAAGCTAGGATTACATGTACATGCTACACAGTTGGCTGTATCAATATTTAAATTATAACGCATGAGTTGTTGACAGATGAGGACACATTCTAAGAACAGTACTGTTATTTGGTTTGGTTGTTATGCAACATTATGGAGAGTTTTCACACACAAAGACTGCTGTATCACCAGGCAATAAATCTTGCACATACAGCCAGCTGATGACTGAACCATCATTATGGGACATGGCTTTTTATGTAAAGTTCACCATTTTCACACCCCCCATCACCATCACTGTCTGTTGTTGCTATCACTGTGTGTGTGTTGGTACTCAGGAGGGAACCCAAGATCCTGCACATTTTAAGCACATGTTCCATCACTGAGCTATACCCCTAGACTTTTCATCATTTTAGATTTAGTTGAGACCTTTAATCCCAGTACCAACCATAGAGGTCTGGAGGTCTGTACAGAAAGAAAGTGACAGAGTTATGTTGGAAGAAGAAATGAGGCAGCTGGGCTAAGAGAGCCATTGAGAGGGCAGAACAGCAAGGCAATAAAGGCGTGGGTTGACAGGAAGTAACTCACATTTGGAAGCTGCAGAGTTGGTGAGGTAAGTTTAGCTGTGGCTTTCCCTATTTCCCTGATCTTTCTCTAAGGCTTTCACCCCTATATTTGGCTCTGATTTTTATTTAGTAAGACCATTTAGAAATTCATCTACACTGATCAGTAACTTGCTGGCAGAGCATTTACCTAGCATGCATGAAGCAACGGGTTTAATCCTCAGCACTGAGTGGAAGAGGACCTCCCAATTAAAAAATAACAAGCTTATTCTGTATATAAATCCACACTGATTATCACTAATAAACTTCATCTTGAATATATCATATACTGAGAGTCTATAAACTATAGTCTAAAGGTCAAATCCAACCTGGCTGTTTCTGTAAATAAGGTTTCAGAAACACATTAATATTCATCTGTCTACAAATGGTCTAAGGCAGTTTTATTGTTGTTTTGTTTTTCGTTACAAAGGCAAAATTAAGTATTCGAGATGAAGATTGTAGTCTGTTAAGCCTAAGATATTTTTCATCTGGCCTTATTAACTGGATTTGGAATGACCTTCAAAGACTCATGTGTTGGAGGTTTGATTTCAAAGTATCAACTTTCAGATGTGGGGCTTTGGGAAAGTGATCAGACACTGAGGCTCCAACCTCATTAATCAGTTAATCATTTGATGGACTACTGGGAAGTGATAGAAACTGAGGAAGCTGGATCTAACTGAAGGGACAAATTTGTCCTTGGGACAAATCGTTGTCCCTAGTGTCTTATCTATCTACGTCATGTCCCAACTCTGTATGCCACGGTCTAGTCTAATTCTTTTTTTGTTTTGTTTTTTTTTTTTTTTTCAGACAGGGTCTCTTGATGTATCCCTTACTGTTCTGGAACTTGATATAGACGAGGTTGGCCTTGAATTCACAGACATCTGTCTGCCCCTGCCTCACAAGTGCTGGGATTAAAGGCATGTACACTGTGCCTGGCTTCTAGACTAATTCTTTTTAATTTGTTTTATTGCTATTGTTGAAACAGGCTCTCTGTAGCCAAGGCTAGATTCGATCTCAGGACCTTCCTGTCTTCAGCCTCCCAGTGTAAGCATCCACTACTACACTCAGCCAATTCGTATTTTACTTCTCATATCTAATGTATACAATACAAACGTGGGGTGAAGGTGGTAAGTTTTGAGCTAATCAAGTGCTCTTATGACTGTCACAGAAATGTATAATCTGAATACAAGAAACTTAATGAAGTAGTATCAGTCAACAACAAGTTAATAGTGTATACTCAATACTGTCCTAGATAATAAAGAGCTACTGAAATGCCAAGTACAAAAATCAAAGAAAGCAACCCTAGACAGCTGCACAGCTGCACAAAACACCCCACTGGAGAGGCAGCACGGCTCATGATAGGAAATGCTGTTTGCCCTGAAGATTCTGGGCACTGGACACTATTTTTGGCTTGGCTGTAGAACTCTACAAATTTAACTTGTACCCAGAGCTGTTTGTTTAGCTTTCAAGAATCTATTGCTTGTGTTCTTCTCTCCACAAGACTATTCATTCAAGAGCCATACTCTAAACTAAGTATGATCTATTTTTTCAATACTGTCAAAATTCTT